ATGTAAAGTTACCATTTTATCCTTTCAAAATTAGTCGTAATTATGGTCAATGTCAATTCTCTTGTCAACTAACAATCAAACTAACATTTTTTGTTAAATTGGACTCCGGGTATGAGTTTTTTAAAGATTCGGTACCATGACTGCAATTTTTCCCTTCTTTTTACTTCACAAATTTGATAGATGAATTATTAAAAAATAGGTGGTAACGAGATTACGCCCCGATTTGGTAGGAATTAAAATAAAAATTTTAATAACAATTAAGATCAACAATTAATTTTAATCACATACTTCATGAAATCACAAATTTTCAACCACACATTTTATCAACTTGTACTAAAAATCTGATTTTAATTATTATCAAATATGGGCTAAATAGCTTTTTCAATACTTAATCTAGTATACTACCGAGTCAAGCACCAAGTATAGGTTTGGGTTACTTGGTAAATCTGTAAAGGACTTTAATAGTGAAAGAAAAGAAAACTTTTTTAAGTCTTGTTTATTGTATTGGATAGCATGCATATTCGTATAGAGAAAATTACCCCAAACCCTACTTTTCAAAATTCATATTAAAAAATGAGGTGATAAGTTTAATCTTTCAAAAATCAGGTGTTTTANGGAAAAGAATTAAAATAATTAAAATAAAGTTATTTAATTGTCTATTATACATTTAGATACTCTTGTTGATTTTTTTCCCCGCACCGTGACTGCAATTTTCCCTAAAATGAATTTGATTTCCGAGCAGTAGGCATTTATGAAAACCCATTTAATTGATTGGTTGAATTCATTTTTTTCCTCGCGGTACCAAATCTTTCGATTTTAAGCAGACTTTGCTTAAACCTTCATTTTATTGCACCAACGGTATCAAATCTTTTAAAAACTCACAACTGGAGTCCAAATAGATAATTTCTATTAGTTTGGCCGTTAGTTGACTCGAGATTTAATTTTGACCAATTTTAAAGGAGCAAAATCGTAACTTTGAATTAAAATAAAACAAAAACAAAAAATAGAAATGAAAAGGCCAGCCCCACCCAAAAAAAGGTGTTCAACATCTCTTTCACACCTCATCCCAAATTAACCCACGACCACAACAGTCGTCGCTGTCACGCCGTGGTAAGCCGCCGGCACCTCCACCATAAAACTCGCCATCTTATCATAAATTTCATCATCCCAAATCACAAACCATTATCAAACCAATCAAGAAAGTACCCATCAAGAAACCATTTTCTTCCCATCAAGAATTTCCAAGTCCATGTGGTCTACGGTGGCGGGAACCCACACCCACACACATCCTCTCAAACCACCACCGGTCGACTCCTACACCACAGGAGCTCAATATGATGGCGATAATTCAACAAAATAGGGCCAAATTATAAATGAATTTTATGGAATTCTGCATCCAGAAGCGTGCGAACTGGGGCTGTTATATTCAATCCAATTTATGGGTTTCCCATTGTTCAATCCACAAATTCACCTACATGAACTCATATTCATACTCAGATGACTATTGATCCAACTACTGCTCAATCCACAAATTTACCTACGCGAACTCATATTCATACTCATACTTAACCCCCGTTTGGGCCACCTTTTTATCNCGACCTCAAATTTATTAAGCGTAGGTTATAAGGTCAAGTGTGAAACGTGAACTATATTGAATTACCCCAAACATCGAATTATAGCCCCGGTTTGGGCCACCTTTTTATCTCATTAAAATGAAAAATATGACCGTTATCCATCACATCAACATTTAAATTCAAATTTTCTATCTCTTGTGTGGGCCCCAATAACGACTATATTTTTCATTCTCATTCTACAAAAAGGTGGCTCAAATAGGGCCTTAGTTTGTTATTGTTGTGGGAGTGTGGTAGTAGTGGTGGTGTTAGTAGGTTCTTGATGTGGCCGTGGCTATGGCGACGTTGTTTCAATTTCTTCCATCATGGATATCGACTGATGGGTGGAATCTGGTGGAGATTGCGATGGAACATGTTTCTATGCGTTGGGATTTGGTAGAGTTACAGACAAGCGAAATTGAAGGTCAGATGGATGGTTTTTCAATCTAGTGTTTCATGGATTATCACAGATGGACGGTGGCGGTAGGAGCAGCAGTGGTCGCTGGCGGTCGGGGATTGTGGCCGGGAAGTTGGGTGGGTTCTGGTATTTGGTTTTAGGTTTGGGTGGGGTGGGTATGTGCAGTTTTGGTTTTTTATTTTGATTATTTTATTATAAAAAATGTAAAGTTATCATTTTATCCTAATTATGGTCAATGTCAATTCTCTTGTCAACTAAAGATCAAACTAACATTTTTTGTTAAGTTGGACTCCAGGTACGAGTTTTTTAAAGATTCGGTACCGTGACTGCAATTTTTCCCTTCTTTTTACTTCACAAATTTGATAAATGAATTATTAAAAGATAGGTGGTAACGAGATTATGCCCCGATTTGGTAGGAATTAAAATAAATTTTTTTAATAACAATTAAGGTCAACAATTAGTTTTAATTACATATTTCATGAAACCACAACTTTTCAACCACACATTTTATCAACTTGTACTAAAAATCTGATTTTAATTCTTACCAAATATGGACTAAATAGCTTTCAATACTTGTATACTATCGAGTCAAGCACCAAATATAGGTTTGGGTTACTTGGTAATTAGATGTAAAGGACTTTAATAGTGAAAGAAAAAGAAAACTTTTTTAAGTCTTGTTTATTGTATTGGATAGCATGCATATTCACGAACATTCTTTTACTGAATTCATATACCAATGATCTTAAAAAAAACTACTTATAAGTAAATAAATAGTTTTTATTAATTTAAATTTAAAATAGTTAATCATTAATTAATTATTGGTTAATAATAAGAATTTTTTCTTAAAGTTAATAAAAATTAATAAATTTTAAACATATTAGGATTACTTTAATAACTTCTAGTTTTTTATTATCTTATTAACATGCATTTCCAAGTATATATATAAGTTAATTGCAGCTGTTGAACCAAACTTTCCATAAAAATCAACCACCAAACCTTCCACAATACCAACCCCCTATAATACTCCTCAATTCTTACAAAGGCCACACCCTTAAATCCATGGCTTCTGGAGAAGAAGGTTTCAGCTTTCTGACCACCTATTCTCCACCACAATCCGTCAACTCACCGCCTTTGTGGCCGCACACAAATTCAGAAGCCTCGTGCAGTAAAAAACCCAAAAACATTGGCGAAAACAGTGGAAACATTCATGAAGAAATATGCAGATTTCCTACTTCAAAAAATACGAGCCACAATTCAAGAACCAACTTTACGACTGACGATAGTAGTAATGATGAAGAGGAAAAAATGGACATGTTGTGGGAAGATTTGAATGAGGAATTTACATCACCAACTTCTGATACGTCACCTGCAAGAGAGGTAAAAATAAGTCGTGTTAGAACCTTAAAGTTGTTGGAAGCCAAGAAAAAGCCAAGCATTGTAGTTTTTTTGAAGGTCTTGAAGAGGGTTTTTGTGATGAATAATTGTCGCCATCAATCCATCAAGAAACGTGCATTGTAATTTTCATATAATTTAGTCATCGTTTGCCCCATTAAAATTATAATTCATTTTTCTCTCTCTTCTTGTCAAGCACACATTCCAATAAAATAATATTACACATAAGATCATCATCTTTCTATGAAATTGTATGTATAGCCTTTTATGAGTGTAAAAACGTTAATATTCTAAGTAAAAGACTGCCATACAAGTATGATTGGATTTTCGACCAATGATACTTGTGACGGCCAGGGAGAGTTCTGAATCTATTAAACAAAAACCCCCAATGATAGTTCCGTACCATTATGAAAGAAGATCTGGGTAAGATATGCACTTCCTCGAGAATTTAAAAAAAAAAAAAAGGATCTATTTTTATTTGGTATTTTGGCCTAAATATTAGTTAATTAATGAATTATCTCAAGCTGTTTTAACACTTATCTGAAAAATCAATACTGTAGACGTAATTAAAAGCGACATTAGTGATTAAATATTTCATTTAAAAAAAAATTGGACAAAGAAATTATAAACAAAAGAATACTTGTACTGCTGGACAAACTGAAAGAGTTGCATCTGTTTTTGTTTGGCTAATGTTTTATAGAAGAAGAAGCAAGATATTTTTCATCAATCTATTTTTTCACATTTGATCCTCAACCTTCGACGCCTTTCAATTTTCATCCCAAACCATTTAAATCGCATTTTCCATTTCCAAATTAACCCAATAGTATTATTAGTCCTTTTACCATTTTCTTCAAAAAATGGTGTTCATATATCAGAAAGTTTTACTTATTGCATTCTATGACATGTTAACGTCGAGTTCGACACTAAATAATAAAAAACTAATTATGACAAAGGGGTTAAAAAGTCAGGAGCTGAAAATTATAATTTTGAAAGTTGAGGATAAAAAACGGAAGCATTTAATGTTGGGAACAAAAAGTGCAGAGGCACAAAAGGTTGGAGTCAGAACATTGGCGACGAGACAATTTTGCCCCTCATAAAATTGATCAACTACGTTCCACATGACATAACTATGCCAAGTATAATCGAAAGTGATTAAAAAAAAAGCACTAATTATGCCAACGATAATAAATGTTGAGGACTGAAAAGTGTGAAATTTTTTATTGGATAAAAAAATGCAAAGACACCAAAAGTAGAGGACTAAATGTGCAATTTTCCCTTTAAGATATTAGACCAATTCATTTCTTTGTATTTATGTATTACATGTATAATATGTTATCTAACAAATATTGAGTATGGTTTAAAAAATTAAGAAAATATTAAGTACAATTGTCTATAGAGTGTAGTGTAACAAGTGAAAATGTTTTATACACTTATTCGGGGGGCCTAAAATACGATATTTGATAATTTTTTTGACAAAATATATTCTAAATTGTTGTATTTTATGTTATATAAGTAAAACTTAATGGTTGAACGAGGAATTAGAAGAAACAAAAGAAAAATGGCAAAGTCCAATAGTTGAGGATCAAATTGAAAATATTCAATAGTTGATTCAAACCACAAGACAATACTTTGAATATTTCTAGGAGATAATTTGATAGAATTAAAACTCAAAAAGGAATGGAATATGATCAAATATTATCAAATTCAATTTTCAATCGCACAAGTTATACTCCATATTTTTAGTCGAACATTAAGACCCATTTTTGGCAAAGTAAATATCCGAACTGGAAAAATTATACTTTTAGCAAAATTGTAGCCCTTTGAGTTAGTTTTCCACTGCAGTTTGAATCGGCTGAATCGGATATTGAGAAAATGTTATGGCCAAAATACTGATCACTGTGCAGGAAAAAAAAATCCGTGCCCAAAAACAACTTTTCTCATTCGATTGGAACTTTTTTTAAAACCAATTTGGATGTGGTTTTCAATCAATTTTCTACTTCTTCAAATACCTAACATCAGAATACATATTAGAGACATGTCATATACATATTATACTCCAATACTCATCAATTTTGTCATGAAATGAGAAGAATTCATAGTTTTTGTATAAGAATTGAAAGGGGCTTGCAAGAATTCAGTCAAATGAAAATTCAAACTTGATTTTTGATCAAAAAAGAGAAGACGCGATTAGACATTCATCAAGAAACCATTGAAGAGATTCAAAATTCATCTTGATCTTCTCAATTTATCAAAAATTCGGGTTATGTCTTTTTACTTAAATATGATCTCTTATAATTTCTATATATTATGTTAGTTTTATACATTGCTAGGACGAGGTGAACTTTTGTTATAATATTTTTAATTTTTAATTAATTATTTTGA